TGATTCACCTTCATCTAATCAACCGATTTATAGAACTTCCCAAAAATTAATTGAAATAACCACTAAATTTCTTAATGAGCAAAACATGTCTAAAAGACAAAACATACCTGAACAAACTGAAATAAGTAATAAAAGAACACAATTCGAATGCAACTTAGATGATAGTCAAGAAATAGATATTTTGAATGTAGATGAACCTAATATAAGAAAAGACCTTGATGTACAACTTTACAACCATAAAAGTGCTTACTTAAATTATAACGAATCTACTGAAGGACAAGACGTAGAATTTTTCGAATTTACTGAAGGACAAGATGTAGAATTTTTTAGTTCAGCATATGATTCCCAAAGCAGTAACATATCCGATAATGAATACATAATGTCCGATCTGTCAGACACTACAGACATTGATGCTAATGAATATATTGAATATGATCATTTGTTTTCTGGAAAGTCAAAGGATTCCGAAGACATATATCAGGAATTCCCATCAGAGGAATACGCTGAATTTATGAATATAGTAACACGGTTCCATGTGCAAGATTCACTTGCAAATATCTTTATAAGATTCTTCAATAAATACTCGAATCGTAACGATTACCCACTTCCAACAACATCGCAAGTTGGGAAAACTTTTATTGAAAATCTCAAACTTTCAGGCTTCGGATGGAGAAAAGAAGTTATTTATAAGTATGAAGGGTTAGAATACGTCCTTGAATTCAGGACTGTGCTTGACGGGATACATCAAATCTTACTCAACAAAAGTATTACTGAAGAATTTATATTCAAATTTAAGTTGTCTGTTGATAACGTAAGTAAATATAAAATTAACAAAAAAAAAATTAATAAATAAATAAATAAATAAATAAAAACCAATTATTAACGTTTGATTTCATAACTTAAGGTAACTGGTCAGCGTCAATATTCAGATATGTATGACTCTGACTGGTGGAAAAATGTAGAGCAAAACATTCCAATTGGAGCATACGTTATGCCAATCATCCTTTACTCAGACGCTACTCTCTGCGACCATTTAGGAAAAACATCAAGACATCCAGTATTTATGACTCTAGTAAATATTCCTTTGAACTGCCGCAACAAAATAGATGCAAAAATTTTACTTGGCTATATTCCTAGTCTTGAGTATAATAGTACATCTCAAAAGCAGTCATCCCAATTTCGATCAGCAACACGTAAACTTTTTCATCGTACGTTTGCAGCTATACTTCGACCATTAAGATCTCTAAGCAATACTGGTATTCATCTCTATGTCAATGAAAGTCTCAAATGGTTTTATCCACATTTGGCACTTATAATTTCGGATTGGCCCGAAGCATGTATATTATGCGCTACTTATAGGTCACCAAATTCACTACATCCATGTCACTTTTGCTTAGTAGATCGCGGTGAAATGAATAATATCTATTTAAAAAAAGAAAAAATGGTCATTCGGAATGAGAATACAACTAAGACTTTTTTACGCCAAGATAATAGCAAGAAAATTTCTGTACATCATATTAGAAATGCATTGTGGAAGCGACCGTAAATGAATTTAATTTATATAAATAACACTGCCAAAAATTTAAAAATGCCAAATTCAACATTATTAGCAAGACTATCATATGTTTTCGCAGACATGTATGTCCGCAAAAGCACATGATAGTCTTGCTAATAATGTTGAATTTGGCATTTTTAAATTTTAGTTACCAGTACTGAATATAGTATATTTTTTAACATACAATAATAAATCTATTCATAGGTACTTTAATGTCTACACTATGTGTGTGCCAGACCACATGCACCATACGGATCTCGGGCTTTTTCAGTATCAGTTACGGTTTACTGTTGAGCTATTGAACTTAAATTATAGCAGTGGCCCAACAAGAATTCTTGAGGAACGTCTTTCTCAAATCCCTCATTATCCAAATCTTAAGGCTTTTAAAAATGGGTTTGAGAGATTTAATCGGTTAACTGCATCGGAGTATCAAGATTTAATGAGAATAATAATTTTTGTCTTGGATGAGTTAATACCCGACAGAAATCTCAATAAACAATTGTGTGACCTTTACTCATTTTGGATTGACATGTATATTTGGAGTCATCAACCAAAATACACCAGATCGGATCTCAATAAATTCGAGGTATTAATAATAGTCATTCAAAAAAAATAAATAAATAAATACTATCTTAATAAATTAATTAACTTTTTTTTTTTTTTTTTTTTAACAGAGATCGATTATCACTTGGAGTGATTTATTTATTAAATTAATGTCAAAATTTTCACATTCTAATCTAAATTTACCCAAATTATATGGCTGGCGGTATCACTTATTGCCATCAATCTGTCAGTTCGGGTCTCCTAATGGATATACAAGTGAGACGTATGAATTATTACATAAATTTAATGTTAAACAGCCTTATCGTATAACGAACAAGTGAAATGTTAATTCACAAATTCAAGCAAGTGTAAGTAATCACAAATGATGTGATACCAGTAAAGAATTGCAAAACGAATAATTTAACAATTTTTAAAATCTTAGGTAACTCGTCAAAACATCTTTGCATCTTTCAAATCAAAGTTTTATTCACGGACTAATAATAACTTATACTGTGGAATCACTTCAAAAAAAGCTATTAAGAAGATTACACAGCACACAATTGATCAAATTATAAATTAGCTAGCAGATGTAAACGAATTATGGAGAGATGGTTTTAAACAACTTAAATGCTGTATTTATGACTATCTTCAAGGTGTCGAGAATTGGTCATTACAAGATATAGAGAATGAGACAATCTTTATTGAAATATTCGAGTTTGCTTATTTAGAAGGCAGTTATAAGGCGGTTATCCGTGCGTCCTCTAATTATTATGGGCAAGCAGCTTTCTCAGATGTTTGTATTGAAATAGATAAATCAGAACAAGATGATTATTTAACAGATAATGGCTTATGTTATGCGAAGGTACATATTAATTTAAAA